CATACATACATTTTCGAAAATATCTAACGCTCGCTAGGATCGAACCCCTAACCTAACGCACCGAAGACTTATACACTGACCACTACGCTACGCTCACATGGGAGTGCATAACGCAAAATGTATATTAAAGCTGCAACAGTCGGGCCAACCGTGGCCCAGAGTTCGGCCAACCAAGAAAATTTAAGTCATTTAAACTGCATTTGACAAAGTTTTGCCAACCGTTGGGCCAACCGTCGGGCCAACCGTGGCCCAGAGTTCGGCCGACCAAAATAATGTAAGTCAATTAAACTGCGTTTCACATAGTTTTGCCAACCGTCGGGCCAACCGTGGCCCAGAGTTCGGCCGACCAAAATAATGTAAGTCAATTAAAATGCGTTTCACATAGTTTTGCCAACCGTCGGGCCAACCGTGGCCCAGAGTTCGGCCGACCAAGAAAGTTTAAGTCATTTAAACTGCATTTGACAAAGTTTTGCCAACCGTTGGGCCAACCGTGGCCCAGAGTTTGGCCGACCAAGAAAGTTTAAGTCAATGAAACTGCGTTTCTAGAGTTTTGCCAACCGTTGGGCCAACCGTGGCCCAGAGTTCGGTCGACCAAAAAACTATAAGTCAATTATACTGCTTTTCTTGAGTTTTGCCAACCGTCGGGCCAACCGTGGCCCAGAGTTCGGCCGACCAAGAAAGTTTAAGTCATTTAAACTGCATTCGACAAAGTTTTGCCAACCGTTGGGCCAACCGTGGCCCAGAGTTCGGCCGACCAAGAAAGTTTAAGTCATTTAAACTGCATTTCACAAAGTTTTGCCAACCGTTGGGCCAACCGTGGCCCAGAGTTCGGCCGACCAAAATAATGTAAGTCAATTAAACTGCGTTTCACATAGTTTTGCCAACCGTCGGGCCAACCGTGGCCCAGAGTTCGGCCGACCAAGAAAGTTTAAGTCATTTAAACTGCATTTGACAAAGTTTTGCCAACCGTTGGGCCAACCGTGGCCCAGAGTTTGGCCGACCAAGAAAGTTTAAGTCAATGAAACTGCGTTTCTAGAGTTTTGCCAACCGTTGGGCCAACCGTGGCCCAGAGTTCGGCCGACCAAAAAACTATAAGTCAATTATACTGCTTTTCTTGAGTTTTGCCAACCGTCGGGCCAACCGTGGCCCAGAGTTCGGCCAACCGAAACTGAAAGTCTTTTAAACTACGTTTTGATGAGTTGTGCCAACCTTTGCCGCCAAAGTTGGCCCGACGGTTGGTTAAACTCTGCATTTAATGGTTGGCTTGCAAAGTCGGGCCAACTGTGGGCACTATTACTTGCCAAAGTTGGGCAAACTCTGGCAACCAAAACTTCGCTTGCCAAAGTTCGGCCAACCTTGGGCCAACCTTCAAACTCTGGCGGCCAACCTAAATTCGCACCTGGGTAGGCGTCCGCAGCATTGATTGAGCATTGGTGCCAATGCTGAATCAAGGCTTGCGCTGCAGTCTGGAATCGGTGTTACATTAAAGCTTCGATCATTCCTGCTCTTGCTTATTCACTCATGCTCAATCAATGTTGACCAATGCTCGGCCAATCTTTATAAAACCTGAACTCGGCGTCACTTCGCGCCTGGGAAATTATCAGTTTTTTTGGCGTGTCCCAATATGAAAACGAAAGCTATTAGACTAAATAAGTATTCTTTTTAAGCGCTTATAAATGCAAATTTACACTTTGATAATGTTTTCAAATAGTTGTACTTTACAAAGATTTAAATAATTGTGACATTACTCTCTATTTGATTTAAAAAATATCTTGAATTTCGTTCGTCAAATTTGTTATCAGTCTCCTGGCATCATAAAAAATGTTAAAATCGTTTAAAATTGTTTTACTTCATTTGTAGTTTAATTAACTAAAATTGTGTTCTTTATGATTGAAATTGATATTTTTTGTCAGACGAAGTAAGAATGTAAGATATTTAATTTTTTCTTGCACTTTAAAAAAGTTTTTTAAACGAATGCATATATAATATCTCCAGAATATTGTGTTAAAATTTCAAGTCATTCGGAGTAAAATTGACGGAGTTATGAGTATTTGAACGTCCGTTGGTCTAAGCTTCAAGATTCTTGTTTTTTATTAATTAATCATCTGCAATCAGTTTATTTTTTAATTTGCAATATTTTCCGATGTACCATTTGAAAGAGCGATTCCTGAGACATAAGAAATGTCTTTTACCAAATTTTTTAAATTGCCTTTTAACGTTAAAAAATAATGCCAAAGTTCAAGTATTGTGCATCTGAATTTTAAAGGTTGAAGCGTTTTTCTGAAACTTGTTATTTTTGAAGTCCGTGTACGCCATAACTCAAAATCTACTGGAAACTATACCAAATTTCATTTTGAAATTTGGTACAGTATTTTTTCTCATAATTCCAAAAATTGGAAAACAAAAAAATGATAAAAATCCTCCTAGGGTTATCTTAAGAAACATCTATTTTAACAAAAAATGCATTTTGATTTTTTTGTTTTACATGATTCTGTTGCTGCGAGTCATAGTGTACACCGCAAAATAATTTTTTTTGGAAGCGCCTGAAAAGATTCACATTCACTTGCTCAATTCTCAATATTTTGCAGTATTATATGAAAATTGATAAAACAAATTAACTCCCTCTGCATCCCCAAAAAAAATTTCTTCAAAATATCCATTTTTTCAACGAATTAACCTATACCCCCCCATATAATACTTTTGTTGGTCTGTCTCCTGTCAATATTGGTAAAACCGAATATTTGACTTCCATTTTGCATAAATATTTGTATTGTTTTATTGTTATGAAAAAATGAAAATGTTTATACTTAAATTCACCCTAACAGATAATCTGAATTGTGGAATTGTGTTATAAAGAGCATACATAATTTGTTATAAACAAATTATTAATTTAGACATGAACATTCATGGATCCCTATAAAATTTCTTCTCAGAGATTTCCAGGGTTGTGGATCCAATAAAGTGGAAAGTATTTCAAAAAGCACATAAAATTTGCTTGTCTCTCGTCAACTAACGTTGCGGATTCAGAATCAACGACACCGAAAACTTAGAATGTAATTTTTTCAGTGTATTGTCTTTTTCTACAAACAGTTTGTTTTAAAAGGAAAGTTTTAAAAAGAAATGAAGTACATATAAATTTTCTAAATTTTCAGTTCTATGAGTTCCGATTAATGTTTTTAGTTCTGATAAAAATTCTTCGCAGTATTAAGGGGGGAAACCACATAACATTAGAACGCTGTTTTTTAGCCGCTTTTAGCGAATTTTTTTTAAGGTAAGAATTCTTTTAAATGATATAAAACCTTTCCATCATGTTGTTCATATATTTAACTGTAACTCATATTTTTTTAAGCGTTTATATAAAAAATCTTCCAAATGGGGAGCTATTGGTTACAGAGCTGCTCCGCCGGAGTTCATGATTGCCGTGCAGTCCTGAGCCCACAAATTTTGTCCGATAGCAAAAAATCAAGTTTATTTACATTTTATAAATATTTTATTATTAAGTGAACTAACTTTTAAGTAAAAATATTGAAAATTGACTCTACTTTTAAAAAATTTTCGACTTTTTGCCTACTTTTTTGCAACTTTTTTATTTAAAAAAAGTACTAAAAATTTTTCTTTTCAAGTTTAGTTCACTTAATAATAAATTTAATAACGAACAATTTCCAATTTTTCGTTTTGAAATCGGTCAATAACTTTTTGAGCTACACTGCACGGCAATTTCAAAAATCCTGTTTTGAAAAAAAAGTATCAAAAAATTGATATTTATACAAAAAAATTTATTTATTTATTTAAGGGTTCATACCACTTTACACGCTTAAAAATGAAGCTATTTTCCAAAATTTTTTTTACGATTCTTATGGATTATATTGACCTGCATTCTTTTTAGTTCAATAAATACACTCTTTAACTTTATAAAAAACCTTATTTCATTAAATAATTAATTATTTCGAAGATTTTCGTAAAAAAATTTTGAGAATCTGTTTAGCAGTTTCCGAGAAAAACATGACGCAGCCTATGGAAAAATGTGGTTTCGAGAAAAACGCCTTTAAAAATTGTGCTGCATACTTACGTAGCCCGTGTATGCGCTCAAATAGCACTGAAAAGAATATATTTTGAGTGCTGGGATCTTTCTAAAAATTTTACCCCACATTTTTGACATATTTTACTTTCGAAATCCGTAATAAAAAAGTTTTTATTTTTTGAAGTTGACAAAGTGGTATGAACCCGAGTATGAATCCTTAAAGTGCTTACATTTTAATCGGCTATTCAAGCACTATAGATATCCCTTTATCTGCTTCATAAGTAGCATATAAGTCTAAGAACTCCTCTTTTCGTGCCTTTCTGCTCTCCTTAGTCATATTTTTGGAATATTAATTAAATTTTTTTTATGTCAAACAGAATGCTTCTTTCAACCTTTAGCATAAATTCATTTGATAAACTAACATCAAATTATATCTACAACAATGAAAATAGACCATTTAATAGAAATAAATTGAGAAATCTATTTAATATTTACAGAAAGTCGACATAAAATAAGGTTTTGTAAGACGCTCAATGTGACGTACATACATTTTCTAAACTGTCCGGACACTTTCAGGTTTTTCAGAAAATTCAAGTTTTTTAATAAGAGAAAACAAAAAAACTGAGTCAATATTTCAAAAATAAAAGTTAAACTGTATTATATATCATTTGTAATTTATTTCAATAGTAAAAACACATTATTCTATTAGAAATTAGGAGTGTGCGGGGCTACCCACTGTCCGGGGTTACGCGAATCTCCCCTAAAATTTTTAAATTTCACATACAATTTAAATAAAGTTTTAATAAGAAATAAGTAAAGGAAATGTTCGAAATTAACTATATAGATCACAAATAAGACTGAATAGAAAATGAAACAAGAAAATTTGATAGAAAATTGTAAAAAGTATCGCGGAGGATAAAAAATTATTTTCAGAAAGGAAAAGAAAAATTCGTGGAAAGGGTATTAAGTGAAGGAAAGTAGAAGGGGGCATGACCGCGTCGCGACGCCGGTATTCCACTACAGTCAGTATTCACTTTGGTTCTTATCAATACGGATGCATTTCGCCTTCGTCAATATATCGTTATCAACATTTCCCGCGTGTCCAGTTTAACAGTGAATTATATTTTCGTTTTCTTCCACGTGAGAAATTACTATTGGCTCCCCTCCCATTTTAACACACACTCAAACGTCCTCTACCTTCAATATACACGTGAAATATTATTTCCTCCAACAAAAAAGAAAAAAGACAATATATTTTACCAATTTCGTAACATATTTCATTTTACCATGTAATTCAAAGTGAATGAAATTTTCATTATTAAGTGAATTTAAATGAGAATGTAAAACAATAGTAAAAGTTAAAAATCAGTGATGTGCAAAATTAAGGAGAATTTTTGTTTTAAGTAAATGAGAACTTAACCAGGAAAAAGATGTTCTAGTTTTTGTACATATACAAAAGTGGAGGAGAATGAGTAGAAACTTGAAACCCTTGACGGTATGCTCTTGAGCATGACCATCTTTAAATGAAAATTTGTTCTTTCTGGTCACGATTTTCATCATCTTGGAGGAGAAACCTTGGTTTTAATTTTCAGGAAATCCTTACTTTACTTCCTTGTTTTTGTTAACTGTACTTGTAATTGTAATACATTTGTAATTTTAATACAAAAGTTGCGATATTTTACAAAAATACAGAGCTTAAACTTTTTTAATTTGTCTTAAATTTTATTTGGTTCATCAAATAAAAATGTTATTTGTGCTGAATGAAATTTATATTCAAAACAATTAATTTTTAATGACCAGTAAATATTTTTTGTGTATATAGTAGATTAAAAAATATTCAACACTACCAAATTTAACGATAAAGGTTTTCTTTCGATAAAGAATTTCCTGATTATAAAAATAAAGGTGTCTACGTGACGTTTCTCTTATTCGAGATTGTTAAGAATTTGTTATTTTTCTGTGACTAGTGAGCTTGTTTAGTACTGTATATGCACACATTATTGCATAGAGTATAAAAGTGTGATTAGAAATTGAAAAAAAGTTTTAAACGTGAGTATACAAATTGCAATCTGCTTGAAAAAAATTTTGTAAATATTATGTTTCACAAGTTATAAAGTTTCAATGTTGTAATTAAAGCAATGAAAACAGGTGGCCGAGTTTCTCATCAGTCGTTTCTTACTCGATAAGTAGGTAGTAGACCATGCCTCTCGGTATCTAGGTGAAGCCGCGTCTCATGTGATGTGTATTTACTCACATTCCATCACCTTTGATAGCAAATGAATCAGTTATTTGATTCATTAATTCCTTTTCTTCAACGGCATAATAATTTCGATTCATTTAAAATTAGTTCTTTCGAGTTCTATTCTTTTTATTTCAATTAGCAATGAAGTAACAGATTTAATACCTCCCCCCGTATCCGAAAATCACTGTAGAAGGAAAGTGCTAAATTTGAGCTGATTTCAAGTATTAAAATAGAAGCAAATGACGATTTAATATCCAAAATCGGTTCTAAATTGGAGGTCCTAATCAAAGAGCTGGTTATAATTCTTTAAGACTCAAAGCATTTCGTATTTTTATAAAGATTTCGAGAATGTTCCTCCAAAAATTGTGATTTGAATGTTTTTAATTTTTTATTCATAGGATAATGATTTTTAGCTTAAAAAAATTATAACCGGTTCTTCGATCAATTTGCCATTAAATAAGGAATTTATCGCGAAATGGTTTCATATGGTTAAAATTTGTTATTGGGTATTTATATTACTAGATACGTTTTAAAGTAACTTCTAAATTTTTAATAAAGAAAACTATAATAATAACAATTATTATTGAATAAACTATCCCAACACAGGAAAAAAAAAGTCTGACTCCGTTTACACCTTAAATTCAGCCCATGTATTTCACATAAGTCTGTCCTTGTTTAATGGGGCTGACTCCGTTTACACCTTAAATTCAGCCTCGAAAACAGGCTAAAAGTAAAACTTTTTTTTTAGTGTGAATGGCACAGAAGATTATGGATACTATACAGGCATTTTACGTGAAATGTTCTAAGTTGAAATTTCAACTTCTTGAAAAAAATTGAAACTCAGGGAATTTGTTGTTCTATCAAGTAGAAATGTGCCCCAAAAAATATTTTTGATTTTTTCGAAAATTTAGAGGGGGTAGAGGGGGGTCAATTTGACCAATTTTGCTAACACCGGCTACTTTGTGAATTTTTTCTGAACATACTTGTAATGGGAAAAATTTTTTAGAATATATTTCTGAAAGGTTTTTTCGTCCTCTTTCCAATAATGTATTTTATTTTTTAATATTTTAAAAATTTACCCTAATTTTTGAAAATTAATATTTAATTTTCAATTTTCCAAAAATCGGTCCGTTTTATTTGAAAATAAATTATTGTAAACGAAAGCTGAGGTTTTTTCCTATCGGCATGTAAATTTTCAGAATGCCCTTTTTTTTGTTTTTGAGTTATTAAGGGGCACACCTAGTGTGAGTGACTGAAAAAAACGTCGATTTTTAGGAATTTTTTTCAGGGAAATTATTGCATCTAATTTTTTTAAAAGTTTTGTACATATATATATATTTGTATAAATAGTGAACATTTTGTAATTTTTTCAAAGAAAAATATCTTTTTTAAAGAGTTATTCGCTATATCCAAAAAAAAACAGTTTTCCCACTGCTGCAGTTATTGCGGCCTTCTGAGTGACTGAAATAAAAAAAAAAATTGGACAAGTGCGAGTTGTACTCGCACTGCAATGGCGGGTTCCGCACACAAATACTAAAACAATACTTGCAACATTGATCGGTAATTGGTAGAATTAAAATAAACAATTAAAAAAATATATTAAAATCATTTGATAAAAAAAAATAACTAAAAAAATTAAAGTATTGTATATATCTAATATTGTAAACAATAATAAGCAGAGGAACAAAATTTTCAAAATTTATTATAGTTCCTCTGCTTATTATTGTTTACAATATTAGATATACAATACTTTAATTTTTTTTAGTTATTTTTTTATCAAATGATTTTAATATATTTTTTTAATTGTTTATTTTGATTCTACCAATTACCGATCAATGTTGCAAGTATTGTTTTAATATTTGTGTGCGGAACCCGCCATTGCAGTGCGAGTACAACTCGCACTTGTCCAATTTTTTTTTATTTTTAGTTAAGAAATTAAAGTCAGAAAACAATCTCTCATTTATTCTCTTAAAATTTCACTCTTTTCCTTAAAATATTTAATGCCACGTGTTTAAACTAAAAAAAAATTTAAAAAAATTTTTTTTTTTTGAAAAAAAAATTTAAAAAAAAATTTTTTTTTGATTTTTTTTCAAAAAGTTTCTTAAATAAATTTTTTGTCGTCAGACTGTAATAATACACTAGGATACCAATTTTCAGCTCATTAGGTCAAATAATGTAAAAGTTAGGGAAAAAAATTTTTTTTTTTTAAATTTTTTAGTTTTTTCTTGACAACGCTATGGCCATCATTACACATCAAGTTTTCTATATTTTTCCTGTAATATTCGAGTAAAAATACACCAGCATGCAAAATTTCAGCTCTCCATGTCGAATAGTTTAGAAGTTAAGGGGGGGAATGGTCACTTTTTATGCATTTTTGGCCAAAAATCTTGTTATTTGCTTGACAACGCTATGCCCATCACGTCCAATCACATTCGCTATATTTTTCCTGTAATCTACGTGTGAAAATACATATCTGTACCAAATTTGAGCTCTTTAGGTCAAATAGTTTAGCCGCTAGGGGGGGGACACGATTTGGCTACGGACAACAGAGTCTCACCAATAGGGTTCCGCCGATACACCGTAGGTGTACGGAACCCTAAAAAACAAAAAGATTATTAAACTAGAAGATATTTGCCGTACAATGAGGCTCCAGTTTTTTGATTGAATGAAAAATAAAATTTTGGGATGCCAAAAACCATCGGATTTTTTTGGCGAAATTTAAAAGCTTTTTTCAAAACTCCGCCATTTCCTATTTAAGAAACATCCCTTACCAATGAAATAAATTAGATCATGCGTGGATTTTACTTTGTAATTAATGTAAGTATGGATGTCAACAATATTCATAATATTGAATAAATAATATTGTCAACTAGTTTAAATTTGATACGCGGTTATTAGAATTTAATAATAAATAAATAAAAAACATTAATTTTTTTCTAACCTTTTTCAAGTTTGACACTCCTCATGGTAAATTTGATTATTCTTTTTTTCCGTGTACAAAATAGTAAATTGACGTTGAATGAAATGTATAATTAATTATTCTCACAGCAATATTTAATAATTTAATGAACTTAACTGCACTGCATAATAGTTGAGAGTAGTAAGAGTAAGTGAAACGGTAAGATAAGTGAACGACCATTAGTGTGAGAGAGAGAGAATAACTTGTGGTTTTCGAGTAGGTATCTACTTTATGTGCACGGCGTTCATTTTTCGAAAGAACTGGACTGAATACTATTTGTTCAATATTCGCTTCTATTATTGAGTTGTGTTTTGTACACTGCCGCGTTCTTTTAACAATTACATGAGAAAGTAATTTCTCATTCCAATTTTTTATACTCTTATTCCCTCTTAGACTATATAAACAGTCTTGTTTAAGCTGATGAATGGGATAACTTGTGTTGAGTCCCAAACTGTTCAGCTATGAAACTTCTAATACTATATTGTGTACCTGTCACATATTATTCTATAAAGGAGTACTACACTGACTGCATAAATCATTTTTCCATTTTTCTCCATGTATCAAAGAAATTTAATTATTTTAATAACCTCTAATACAATTTATTTATTAGAATTTAAATATTATTTTTAATAAATTTTTAATTAAATTTCTTTAAAGAATAAAATTATTGCATTCAAAATTTTTAATGCAATTCTTTGCGTAAATTATCAATTATCTTTATAAATAATAAAATTCTTCTCTAAAATTGAATAATTTCAAAAAATTTAATAAATTTCTTGGCAAAATTTCAATTATTTTCAAAAATTTTCCCTAATTTAATTATTTTTAATATCTATTTTAATAAAATTTTGCAAAAGAATTCAAATTATTTAAAAATTGATTGATACAATTTTTTAAAAGAATTCAATGTAATAATTCATATATGTAATTATTCAATAAATTGTTTTTTTTTGTTTTTAAATAATGAAATTCTCGTAGAATTTCCTCATAAAAATTGATTTAAAAATGGATTTCAGTTAAAATTTTAGATAATAATTGAATATTAAAAGTATTAGAGCGTAAAATTTTAGAAATAATTAAATTTTGAAAAGGTTTCAGATTCAAATCTTTGAAGATTTGAATTTTTCATATTTTTAACTAAATAATAATTCTGTGGAATTAATTTTTTTGAGAAATTTTAATTGCGAATTTTTTTTTATATTATTTGAAGTTTTTATTTTCTAATACACATTTAATTGAAGAATTTACAAATAATTGAAATTTCGTAAAATTGAATATTGTAAAGAAATGGATTTGAAAATTGTCAAAAAACTTTTTCGAAAATTATTAAAAATAATCGATTTTAAGAAGAATTTTAGTTAAAAATTCTTGAAAATAATAATTGAATTGATAATGATTTTATCACTCTACACGGAAAGAAAAAGTCCGTCAACCATTAATGGATTAGTATATTACTTTGAGACGGGACTCTTTTTCCGTTGATGGTTACTTAACTTTACTTAACGATTGAAAACGAGTCATGGATTGATTAGAATGCCAGTATGTGACCAATTGTTTTAGATTTAATGCTGAATTGTTATCAATGGCTGTTTGAATGTTTACGAATCATTAGTGAAAGTTTGTGAAACGTTAGTTGACTCGTATTCTAAATCGGCGTTCTTCACTAGCGCATTGTTGCGCAGTGTACCGATGCGCATTTCTTCCGGTTTCTCTATAGTCCATGTGTTTTTGCTGTCTGCTATACATAGGGGCCGTCCATAAATTACGTAAGACATTTAGGGGGGAGGGGGGGTCAGCAAGATCTTACGAACAATAGGAAAAATGGCGCTAATGTATGTAAAATATCTT